GGGAAGACGACTTAGGAAATCCTAGCACGTTATTATGTGCCCTAAGGCAGGGACAGTGCTGTGCCCGAGAAAGTGGAGGGACAGTAACATTTGAGACGAGCCTTCAGTTCCATACATTTTCATGTATTTCACCAATGTTTATTGAGCATCTAATATCTGCCAGGCACTGGGCAAGTCGGTAGACAGCGTTATGTTAAAACAGCCCTGGTCCTTTCTCAACAGGAAGCTTACGAGGACAAGTAGCAGTGTTATGAACAGGGTGAGTGATGGCTGAGGAGGAGCACGTGTCAGGGCAGCCTGGGTTGGAGAGGTGTTTAAACTGAGACGAGGAGTCAGTTATGTTAAGAGCCAAGGCGGGAGGTGGGGGGAGGAGGGGTGCTGTGGAGTGGGAAAGAATAATCCATGTAGAGAGAAATACACCTGTGAAAGGGCCCGAGGCTGGAGAGCTTGTGCAATGTCGGAGGAACTGAAAGAGGCAGTGTGGCTAGAGCGTGGAGGGACAGGGGAGAGAGAAATGGGTGAAGGTAAAGGTGAGGAGAAGGGTAAGAGAATTAGGGAGGGGCCTGGTGAGACCTGGAATTTTTCTTCTCTTACTCAGCAGTATTGCAAGAGTTCTCTCCGAGATGGTATAGAATATGACTCCTGATCTAGAATTTCTTCTTAAGGGGCAAGAAGAATCCATTCCTCCCAAGATCCTGTTTTTATTCATTGGCTTGCTTGTAGTTCCCCTTTCTGTGATTTTAAACCTGAGCTCCCTACTGGACTTGGGGTTTAGAGACCTGCGTGTGTATTGCAGCAGCCCCCCCACACACACACGTTATCAACTTCCTGTGTGACCTAAAAAGATCTTTAACTTCTCTGGGCCTCGTTTTCATCTGTAAGTGGGAATGATTATGAACTGATCCCAGAGTCATTGTGAAGATCAAATAAGATATGAAGTGCTGGAGAAATGTGAGGTGTCATTATTGCAACGAAATATTTATTATCAATGAAATAGGAAAAGTTAAAAGCAGAGCATTCCAGCAGGGGAGGGCAGAGTATACCTCCCAGATAACTGAAATGGCAGATTCAGCCTAGGTAGCTCTTCTTTAGGAGCTCGTTGTCATGCTGTTGTTCCTCTTCTTTTTTATTCCATCCACGAGGCAAAAGCATTTACTCTCCTTTCTCCTCCTATCACAAATGGTTTGCAGAACAATCCATTTCACTTCTCTAGATTCTAGGACCCATTTGATAGAGAAGCCAAAGCATCTGCTTGGAGACCAAAAGAGCCTTGTGAGCAGAGCTGCTGCGGTTTGCAAGGCGTTTTGGTTCCCAGCAGACAGTACACTCCCAGGAGTGTGTTTAATTGGGTTTAGGGAAGGAAGGCAATCAAGGGCACCAAGCCATGGAAAACAGTTAACAGCACAGAAACAGCCCACACACCACCTACACAGGGCAGTTTCAAGCCAAAGCTTTAGGCTTTCTTTTGGATTTTAAAGGGGGAATTCTTTTTTTTTTTTTTAATTTATTTAAATTAGTTTCTTTTTTTAAAGTAAAGATTGTTTCCTTTAATAAAAGTCGTAATGCTTAGGAATAAAGTGCACCCTTTTTCCACTCAACAAAATTTTTTTTTAAAATTTGTTCTTTTTTGACCAAAAAAGAAAGTGACAATCAGTACTGTTACGTATCCCATGTAAAGGTAAATGAGTAATGTGTAACATCATGTTCTTTCTCTGCTCTCTCTGTTTCTCTGTTGTTTGTTTTTATTTTCTTCATTATTTTCCCATAAAGTAATACTTATGTTCATTGTAACTAATTAAACAATTGGAAGATGTATAAAGAAAAAGTCATAATCTCCTCCCTCTACTCATTTCCATCCTCTGAGATAACTGGTCTTTATCTGTTTGGTGTATATCCTTCCATATCTTTCTCAAAGCTCCTATTTAAATGGACAAAGGATTGGTGTATGTCTGTGGTTATTTGTTTTGTCAGAATGGGATCATACTTTATTATTTTCCAATTTATTTTTCCCACTAAATAATACATCATAGGTAGGTATAAATCTGTTTCACTCTTTTAATTCGCTTCAGGGCTATAGATCTTAGAGGTACCACAGTATGTTCAGCCATTTCACCTTTGACAGATATTCAGGTTGCTACCTGTTGGAGTTTTTATTCTACTAGAAATATTATTGCATTAAATATCTTCATATACATGTCCTCAGCTGGTGCTTTTATTTTTATAAGTTACATTTTCAATAATAGTATTGCTGAGTCAAAGGTATAATGTATTTAACATTTTAATAGATAAAGCCATCCTACTTTACAAATAGGTCTTAATTTACATTCTCCCCAGCAATATATAAGTACTTCTATTTCTAAATCTTTACCAATATTAGATATTCACTTCCTTCTTCCTTCCCTCCCTTCATCTCTGTTTTATTCTGTGACCAAGCTGATGGGGGAAAATGGTGTCTCATAGTTGTTTACTTTGGATTTCCCTTACTGCTAGTGAGATTGAACATTGTTTCATGTTAATTGGCCACTTCATTTTCCTCTTCTGGGAGTTCTTTCACCCATTTTTCTTGTGAATTATTTACCTTTTTCTTAACAAGTTGTAGGAGCTGTTTATATATTTATATGTCAAGGATTCCATATGTGTTGCAAATATTTTTCCTAATCTATTATCTGTTTATTACATTTTTAAATTTATAGAAAAATTTTAATTTTTTTATTGTAAAAAGTTTATTTTTGATTGTTCCTAGTGTCTGACTTTCTCGCCTTGTTTAAGAATAATTTCTCCAACTCAAAGTTTACATAAATATTTTCCTAATGATGTTCTAATACTTTTATGGTTTTAGTTTAATACTGAATCTTCAATCCCTTTGTACGCAGTTTATCCATAGGAATTTTGTTTATTCTAGATGTGCCAGTACCATTAATTAAATAAGCCATCTTTTCTATTTTGCATTGAAATTCCATCCTTGTCAAAAGTAAGGTACTTTACTGTATCTGTTTCTGGACTTGCTATTCTAGTTCACATACCTTTTTGTCTGTTCTTATGTTAATACCATATATTTTTATTATAACATCTTTAAAGTAAATTTTTATTATCTCATAAGACAAATCCCCTAAATTTTTTTTATAATTCTCTTTACTGTTTCTTGGCTAATTTTCTTGGATATTTATTATTCCACATGAACCTTAAAGTAATTTTATCCTTACCCCCCTCCAAAAAAACTATTAGTATTCTTACTGAAATTTAATTACTATTATATAATAATTTGGGGAGGATTGACATTTTTGGATAATTAGCCTTTTCTACCCAGGAGCATGTTAACCGGTTTAGAACATTTGCATTCTATTTCTATATTTTGTTATTTTTACCTTTAAAATTTAAATATACATCATGGATGTTTTGTAAAGTAAAACCTCGTTTCTGTGTTTGTCCTGAATAAGCAAGGACCTTAAAAAGTTTTAACTCTGTTTTGTCTTCTATCCTCAATGTTATTATTATTAAACATGTAATACTGTCAAATATTGTCAGAATTGTTTTAATTTCCCTATGACCTTCGTTTTACTCAATCCGTACTTCTTTAAATTTACCAAGATACTTACCGATTTCTTTGCTCACTGTAGATTCTAAAATCTCACTTATTTTCTGTGTTTACTTTCCTTTCTGTTGGAGAGCATTGGAGTCTCTGAATGTTCAATTTGCCCAGTCTTTGTCTGGAAATGTCTTTTGCCCTCACTCTTGATAGTTTAGAATTTTAGATAGACAGCACGTATAATGATTATGAAAATTATGTATGCCTCTTTAAAAGTTTTCAACCAAAACAGAAATATTTAATGTAAAAATGTGAAAGATACTTTCATTCCTTTCTCCTCGAGTCTCAGAGAGAGCTGTTGTTTATAGTTTGCTGTTCACCTTTTTCTATGTAGATACAAAAAAAAAAAGCGTATGCACAAAAATGCTCTACCTTTTTTCCTAAGCATAAACGACCATGTTCATATTTACATTAAAAAGTGGTAATGTGAACAATCTTAAACTCATTTTTAATGATAGAGCATGTCTATATTTCCATGTCAGTGGAACAAAATCTCCCATATTATTTGTCTGTAGGGTTTCTCATTGTATTGACACACCATAATTTAACTCTTTTCTTTTTAACACACATTCGTTTCCCCCTTTTTTTTTTTTTTACTATTCCACTATGTTTTACCGAACATCCTTTTACTCATGTGAACCTATCTATAGTATAAATTCCTAGATTTTTGACTGACCCAAAAGGATGTGTACATTTAACACGTTCATAGGTATTGATAACTTGTCTTCCCGAAAGATTGTTGCAGTTTACAACCCTGAAGTATAACCGACTCTAATTTTTTTTTTTTTTTTGCTTCTGGTTCCTTAGAGTTTCCACGCTGATTAGTCAACAGTGGAAAATCTGAAGAGATGCAAGCAGGAAAAAGAAACTAAACCAGGTGGGTAATTACACTGTTCACACCACTCTACCATAGCATCACGACTTTTGCTTAAAAACCTTTATTCTGTTTGAAGAAAGAAAAGATAGAGGTTCCAATTGGACTTAGAGAGGAATTTTTTTGGCCCCGTGAAGAAAAGGCAGAAAAGGCGCTTTTCAGGAATTATATGACATCACACTGGAACTTCACAGACATGATCCATCCCATTTACAGACACTTTCTGTAGAGCATCAGGAAGACAATTTACCTGTAGTGGCTTAAAAGAGAATGGCTTTCTTTAGCTGTCTACTTAAGCGATGGAAGCGTACACAAGAGTTATTAGCAAATTTGGGTATGATGCCAACTCTCCTGTCCACCAGTTGTCTGTTATAAAGCTATTTTTATAAGGACTAGGGCACATTATGGTAATCTTAGTACTGTGGTAGAGGTGCAAAAGCAGGCAAAACCCAGCCCAAAGAAACAAGCACTGGCCAGTGGTCTGATGGGGAGAGATGGCACAAGTCACTCCCAGTTGGAAGAAAATTGAGTTCACAGAACATGAGTAGCCTGGAATTGTGGCCACCTTCAGTCAGTGTTTATATTTTTATGGTATCTACATGTTTCTGGCATGAGTTGATAGTTTTTAACAGCCTCTGATTAATGCTTCGGCCACCTCCGCTACCCCCCAAACTCCCCCATCCCCCCTTTAGTGCCATCTCCTTGCAGTTGGGGTGGAATCTCCAGCCTTTCTTTATTTCTCTGAGTTCTAGCAGTCCCGGGAGGTCGGGGGCTTTCCAGCTCCTTTGAATTCCCTCTCGTGGCCTAGCCTGCCTCCAGCGCCTCTCCGACAAGTCCTCTTCTCTGTTGGAAGAGCAAGAGTCTCGTCTGGCTGGCAGCTACCCTGGGGTTGGAACTCCCGGGCTGCTTATCAGCAAGGCTTCTGGGCATTGCCCTACTGTAGCTTCCCAACCACCCAGCTTATGTCCTGGTCTGACTCAGTGCCCCTGGGAATCCCCTGGATGCAGATGTTTGCAGTAACTAGGATGCAGGAGTCGGCTCCCAGGACTGTTTATCTGGCCAAGTCCGGTTTAGGAGGGCAGGCCTCCAAGGGGCCTTCTGTTCCAGCTGCTGTGGGAACGTCGGGGCCCAGAGCCACTGACCTTGAGAATGCTCGGGTTATATGAAGTCTAGAAGTTTTTAAACCAGGGCTTTATGGTTGGCTTCTGGGATTCAGGAGCCCCCTATAACCATGGGTACAGTTTTGTGTGTATGCACACACACTCAGGAGCCCCCTATAACCATGGGTACAGTTTTGTGTGTACACACACACACACACACACACACATGCACACACGCACACACGCATGCACACAGGGGCCAAGTGTCTGTAGCTTTCTTCATGTTTTCAAATGTGTCTTTGACCTCTGAATTTTATGAACTGTTGGTCCAGAGAGAGCCTGTAGTGTTTTGGGCCACTGTCTCCTTGGACACCAGCATCCCAGATACCAGGATCATGGGAGACCTTACCAGGCCTCTAGGTTTTTCTGTTTAGGGGTGAACTGGGACAAATTACCCAATATCACTGAAGCTTAGAGCCATCCCGTGGGATGTCCCAAAGTCCATCATGAAATTGTCCCCCCGACCCTGTTTTATCTCACTGAACTTACCGAACACACCATGCGGCTTTTCTGGTTTTGGGTTCAGAGTTCTTGGGTTGCTTCAGGCAGCTACGCTGACATTAAGAATGGTGTTGATAGCTGAAATTCAATGCAGGTTACTAACCACTGCCAAGAACAGCAAGAACGCTTTATACGTAGTATCTTATTTAAGCCTCACAACCCTCCAGTGAGGTTGGTTCTGTTATTTTACATACGGAGAAACCGAGGAGGCACAGAGATCTAATAATTCTCCAGAGATCACACAGCCAATAAGCGATCACATTGACTTCAGTAAGTGATATATGACCCAAACACATGAGCCTAACCAGCAAGCTTTAAGGTGGAAGTAAAGGGCATTTTTTAGAGGGAAATAACGTAAGTAGAAAAAAAAGGGTCTGGCTGATGTTGGGCAAACAGCCCTGTATTTTATAATACTGAGAACATTGCTGTGTTGTAGCAGATAAGAAAAACCGTGCTCACAGCAATGTTCTTACATCGTTAAGAAAAGGTTAATGGGTAGTCATTAATGCATTAGTGTGATAACACAAGAATTTTTGTCCATTATAATTCAAAAAGGTGGTTTTTTTTTACAGCTTTATTGAAATATAATTCACATACCATACAATTCACCCATTTAAGGTGTACAATTCAGCGGCCTTCAGTATAATTACAGAGTTGTGAATCCATCACCATAATCGATTTTAGAACATTTTCATTACTCCAAAAAGAAACCCCACACGCTTTACTCATCACCCTTCCATCCCCCCAACCCTCCTCAGTCCTAGGCAACCACTAATCTACTTTGTCTCCAGATAAAGTTTTGATACTTAGAAGAGTATCATTGTGGGAATCTTGGTGATCTCGAGTGAGTCATTCCCTCAGGAATAATTAGACAAATGAAATTTGACTCAATGTATTTTATAAATGGTTTTATTAGCTAAGAAGCTCCAAGTTGGAATTGGGGGTTGACATAGGCAAGAGACACAATTTTTTCAGAGTAATTTCCACTTGTCAGCGTCACCTGTCAAATAGGCTCATCTCGGTGAGCAACTGTAAAACGATGATGGTTTCGTGGGGACTCATTTCTCTGTCGGCGTCAGAACTAGTGGTATTTCAGCACAGGATCCTTTTTCTGTCATCTGAATCCCTGGCTTGGTTTCTCTCTCTGCCTTGCTGCAGTTGTCAGTGTGAAGGGCACTCATGCGGATGCCCTTCCTTCTTTGAAATTCAGGAGGCAGCTTGCATAGGATCCTGTTGGGCACTCGGGGGATGCGCTATTTGAGCTATTTCTCTCTTGAGCTACTTCGTGTTAGAAGAGTCAGTGTCTGTCTCTCCTGACTCACTCATTTGTTCTTTCAGGAAACATGTATTAGGTCCACGCAGCAGGCCGTGTGGTAGGTGCTCAGCAAATCGCTCCGAAAGCCCCTCACCCCTGTTATTACAGTGAGCGGCCTCATTTGACCCAGGCAGAGCTCGCCATTTGCGCTGAGAGAGAAGCCAGAGAGGCAGGGAGTTTGGTAAGAGAGCAATTCTCTGCTAGGGATGAGATAGATGCAGTATCATCCACATCAGGACAGAGCCATCACCAGAATGTACCATCCTAAAGAATGTGCTCCGAATCAGGAATGAGGAAACACGAGTCAAGCCCCGATCTGGTCACTTACTGGTTGGAGGACCTTGGGTGACTCACCACTTCTCTGAGCCATGGGCTCTCCATCGTGAAGGTTAAATAATGCCACACCTCTGAAGGAACCTTTAGTGTCCTTGCTGGAAAGAGTCCGTATGTAGTACATGCCAAGTGAATGACTGAAGGAATGAAGGAAGGTGCTGTAATTCTCAGTGCTCGAGCAGAACGCTGACAGGGCGGATGACTACATGGAGACAGGTGTGGATGAGGACTGAGGAGAACCTCCCTTTCTTCTCCCAGTCGGTCCCCTCCTGCCACTTCGGCTCTTTGAAGCTCACCTTTTTCTAGGGCTCCCACATCCTTTGCTTCCTTGAGCCAAAAAGAGGTGCCACCTTTGAGGCCTTGGGCCTGGGAGCCAGCCAGTCCTGGGTGTGAATCCCGGCTCCAGTACGTCCTAGCTATGTGTAAAAGGGATCGGATTATGCTAGGCTGCTGCGAAGTATAAATAAGATGATAGATGGAAAGCAGCCATTACCATGTCTGATGCGTAGTATATACACGCTATAAAGGGTGGCTGTTTTTATTTTGTTATTACCGTCGTTATTTATTTGGTCAGGAGCCAGCACTCATGGTTGTTTTAATCACTGGCTTGAGAATGTGGATGTTCTTAAGTTCTGATTTTGTCTGTTTACTCATTAATTCATTCATATGAGTATATTTTTTGAGCATCTTCTGTGTGTCGGGAGCTGTGCTGAGGATACAGTGGTGGCAAACGAGGACATCAGGGACCTACCCTTTTGGAACCAGTTGGGAAGGCAGATGTTGAACAGCTGTGTCAGCACCTGTGTCGTGCCTGGCTCGTGGGAGACTTCAGTCCGTATTTGCCGAATGACTGTTGAGTGAATTACAAGTGCAGTGATTATTAGGAAGAAGTCAAGGTGCCGCAGGTAGCGAAACAAGGAGACCTTATCTCTTCTGCTGGATCAGAAGATGCTCAGAGGAGAAGGTGCTCAGGCTGAGGGGTCTCTGTCCTGGGCCACTCAGAGTCACGCAGGACACTTGGGCTGAGGGCTGACAGTTCCGTGAAGACTTGGTGCCTGCAGGTAGCGGGTGGAGGGTAGAGGACTAGCATACTGAACCCCAAGGGGTTGGGAATCTTGTGTACAGTGTTTTAATGTGGGCTCCCAAACTACACCATGAACTCTGCTGTTTTCATATCAATGGCATCTAGTCCCAAGCCTGGTACAGATGGACCGATCAGTTAAATTTTGTTGCATGAACGAATGGATGAATTAATATTATAGAGATAATCCCTTTTCATTCTCTGCAGTGGACTTGGGCATGCTTTTTATAGAATTCTAGAGGAACTAGAGTGGAACCCCCGAGCTGAAAGTACCATTACATATCACTCTGATTATCCATTCCTGCATGACATGTTCCCCACCAGTACTTAGTGGTTTAAAACAACAGCAATCATTTGTTATCTTTCATGGCTTCTGTGGGCAGGAATTTGGGAACAGCTTGGCTGGACAGTTCTCGCTTGCACCTCTGATGCAATCGTAGTTAACAGCGCCTGGTGCCGGAGCAGCTAGGGGCCCCTTGCAGCTAGGTGCTGCCAGCTGCATCTCTCTCTGCTGTGTCAGGGCTCTCCATGCGGTCACTTCATGGGGCTGGTCTGGGCTTCCTGGCAGCCTCGGATGTCCTAGATGCAGGTCAGAGCTCTAAAGACAAGTGTC